TGGGCAGCTTGAGGCTTCAAGAGAAGGGTGTCGGGTGGGCCACAGCAAATTGCCTTTGTTTTTCCATAGCAGAAAAGGCTTATAAAGTACAAAACCCCCCAAAACCCTGACATAGTGCTGAGGGATCTGGTGTAGTTGGAAACTGTCAATGTTGGGTTAATGGTTGGACTGGATGATCTTCAAGGTCTTTTCCAACCTAAACGATTCTGTGATTCTGTAATAAAGTAGGACATAATGACAGTGATTTTCACCTGCTCTCACGTTAGTCAGTCATCTTCTCCCCACTGTTAATGAGTGTGACAGGAGTTGTACTGCGTGTCTGTGTGACCTCCTCTGTTCTCAGGGGATACTCTTCTCCGTTAAGGATGGCAGACTTTTCTTAGCAGTGTAGCAGAAAGGCTGAGACATACAGACACACCCCGTACCACCCAACTCATATAATTATTTTTACTTTAAAAAAAATACAAAACAAACTTTTATTTTGCTTACAGCTCATCTCTGGGTGAAAAACTGCAGGGAGCTCATGAAGTCTTCCTACAAGGAAGAAAGGCTCGATCAGCCTTTGCAAGCATCTGTCTGGCTCAAGAACTTCAAAGCCTCCAATGAACGCTTCCTAAAAGAGGTTTGTAGAGCCCGCCAGGTTGTCGTGGTTAGTAGCTAAGAACTCCCCAAACTGCCCTCATCATCCTCTCCCAGGGGCTGCATGTGCTTCCTGTCACTGAGCACCCTGATGCAAGTTGTAGATTTGCTCATTTTTGAAAAATGTTTCATGTATTAATGCCCTTACACTGCATACAAACCCACAAACCCTGCCCTTCACTGGAATTCAATTTTTATAGAAAAAGAAGTACTTTAATTCCCCCTGTGGGGATGGCTATTTGTGATGAATACTTCTCCCAGATTCCGAACTACTCTTTAATGCTGGCAAAGAACCAGGAATCTTTGCCAAGCTGCCTTTGCACTACTGAGTTCCCAATGTAATTGTAGTTCTTTTACCACAGATAAAAACACAAAAAACATACGTGTGGGGCAAACAAGAAAGTACTGAGGAGGGCAGACCACTGGGGGAAGTGGTGGAGCAGGTAAGGAACAACAACTGCTTCTGGCTTTGTCTCACCTTTTATTAGAGACCCCGTCACTGCGTATGTAGAACAGACTGCTTCTGAAGATCTTACAGATAGGAGTTCTAGGAAATGGAAGGCATTTCCCTATCAACAAGGTGGTTACAAAATACATTGTGGAAGATGGGATGGATCTGTCAAGGAAGTTGTACAGAGAACTTGGGTAGAAGCGAAGAGTAGAATGTGAAGGTTCCTAGGTCTCTGATGCTCAGTACCTGAGACCAGGTTACTCCTTTGAAAGGAACGAGCAGGCTGTGGGCTGTTGCTTTCTCTTCTTTCCCCCTTAGAAACGGCAGACAATGCCCGAAGTTGCCAGCATTATATATTAACAAGAAAACCAACCTGAGTTATGTGCTTTTTCCTATTTAAAGGGTTTAGCTCGCACGAGAAATGCCAGCGATGCTGTGGGGGTCGTGCTGAAAGAGCTAAAGCAGCAGTGTCAGCGCGGCTCCTTCCGACTCCTCGTGGCAGTGGACGGCGTTAACGCGCTCTGGGGAAGGACCACGCTCAAGAGGGAGGACAAAAGCCCCGTAAGAAGTGATCTGCTCTGATGATGTTTCTGTATTCCTACTGCAAGGGAGAGCTGGGGAGGGTGCTTTGTTCATTTTTAGGTTCTGCAGTTATCCCTGAAGGATGTAGAGTTGGCTTTGCTGGCTTGGAGGGACCTGCAAAATTCCTGTGTTGTGCTTTAGACAACTTGTAACTGAAGAAAGTTCCCTCGGTGTAAAGAAGTGCATGTATGTCTTGTTACAGCAGGAAGGGTTTGGGCATTTCTCTGTGTAACATTCCTAAGGCTGAATGCTACAATGCTGAGTAACAGCAAAGGAAAAAATGCACCTAAAAGGATTCAAATGATCCTTCCAGTCTAATTTAAAGTAGGGGAGGGAACTTCTGTCTCAGAAACTGTGGGCAAAAAGAAGTGACACAGACAATCTTCACCAGGTTTCTCCAGAGGACCTGACGCTCGTGTACAATCTCAGGAAGATGATGATGAATAATTGGGTGAGTTCTGGTCCCTTTGGGTGTGTTATTCTTGACAGTTAAAGCTACGTGCTGCTAAGCATAAAGCTACGAATCAAACATCACACTGTTCCTTCAGCAGAGCATGAGCGTAGTGTGAGTGTTAGAGGTTCTGTCTTGTCAGTGCTTCAGACACCCAGAGAGAGTGAGAACAGGTCAGATCTCTTGCAGTGCTTTCTGTGATTACTGTGCCAAACTCCAGTTTGTGACCCTGAGCCAGAGGTATTTATTTAATAACCCTTAGGACACTTCATGATTTTTTTTGAATGGATGAGGACTTTCAGTTTCTAAACATTTTGCTATGGGAGGTTAACTCCTGCTTCTTTTTCAGTCCCCTGGATGCCAATAACTCTAACAGGTAGTGTTCAGATTTAAAAGCGTATAGAAAAGTCCTTCAAAAGTATTTCAGTTGTTTCAATAGAAAGTTGTTTATAGGCAAGAATGACACATTTAAATGTGGAAACACCAGCTACGTATTCCCTGTGCTGCACATATACTTGGAGTAGCCAGGCTTCACGTAGTCAGGAGCATTAAAGAAGCCCATTATATAGAGTTTTGGGATAGAAATATCTGTAAGATCAAAGGAGGAGGCACCTCGCTTGTTTAAAATCCGTCCCTAAGTACTGCACAAACACTACACTTGCAACTAAAAGGGTTTCTTCTGCCTTGTAGAACGGAGGAGCTATTGTGACAACTCTCAGCCAGACCGGCTCTCTCTTCAAACCCAGTTCTGCTTATTTGCCCCAGGAGTTGCTGGGAAAGGTCAGTCACAGCCTCCCCCCCCCCTTCACACTGGGAAACAGAAATCCTGGTCGGGGAACTGCCCCAGGTCCCAGCAGCAGAGTCTGCTTCAGTCTCTCTTCCAATAATTCCTTTTTTCTTTTAACTCCACTGCTCGGGCTCGCACGCGGCCAAGCTGTGCCCGGTCCCAGGTCGCTCCCACGGGGGGTGGGGGTGTGTGTGTGATGAACCCGCGGGTCTCACCACCAGCTGTCCCCCCCCACAGGAGGGGTTCGACGCCCTGGACCCCTTCGTCCCCATCCCAGTCCCCAACTACAGCCCGAGGGAGTTCGAGAGCTGCTACCACTACTACCTGGACTGCAAGTGGCTGCAGCACGAGCAAGGTCAGCACCCCTGCGGGGTGGGGGGGCACTGGGGGGGGGCCCTGGAAGCTTCACTCCACAGTCAGCAGTGGGTATAACTGTTCAGCAGGGATTCTTTATTGGCAGCGCTGGGGATCTCTCCACCACGAGTGCCACGTTAACTGACAAAACTCTGAGTAATTGCACACACTGCACTCCCATGCATCAGATCTCTTAGAAAAGGCAGTGTGGTGCTACGGGGTTCTCAGAATTCATTTACGTAGTTTGAGCATGTGTAGTAAAAATAGAGTGAGTGTCTTCTCCCCTCCTTAGGGGTCCCCACAGCCTTTCTCACACTGTCCCTTAGTAAACTTTAGGTCTCTCTCTGGTCACAGTTACTTCATCCCTCCTCCAGCCCCTGCGTGTTCCAAGGGCGTTAGTTCAGACCAGCTTCCAGCCACTCCTCCTGACACTGGTGTCTCCTTAGGCCCTTGTTTTCTCGAGGTTCCTGCTATTAGGGATGTTCTCAGGGAGTTTTTTAGACTGTCCAAGGTCTGTCTTTACTAGGCAAGGACTTAAAGGTTTCAAAACATCCTGTAAGCGGGTAACGACTACAGGGGGTAGAGGAAAAAGTATAAACGAGATTATATACATTAAAGTATGGGGAAAAATAAAAGTTAGTAGAACACAAGTGATGGTTAACGTTAACACTAAATGTACATTAGCAATTTCAAGTACAATTGTAGCAACTGCCCCCCCAACGCACCTTGTGCCTTGCAGCGCGCACGGAGGCCGGGAAGGAGGAGCTGCGGTTCCTGAGCGGCTCCAACCCGCGGCAGCTGGAGCGCCTGGCGGGGCCCCTCTAGCGCAATAAAGGCCGGAGCGGCGGCGGGTCCCTCGGTGT